TGAGGCTCTTCCTTTCACACACACACACACACACGATCCCCACCCCTGGGAGCTGACCCCACCCCCCCCCCCGCAACACACACACACACACACACACACACACCCGCACCCCGCACCAGCTCCAGCCCTGCTGGCCCCGCCGGCTGCACGGCTGAGCATCCGGGGCTCGCTCTTTCGCTGCTCCGCCGGGGACAACAGCTCAGTGTCCCTTTGAATCCGCTGACACTATCGCCCACATCAAACAGGCGGTCATCGATCGCGCCGCCTTGGGGGGGGGGGGGGGGGGGCGGAGATCCCGCTGCCAACGGCGCCCGCGGGTGGGCCCGGCGCGGGCTCCCAGGCCAACCCCGCGGGGCTCGGCGGCCGCGCACCCCGCACCGCGCCCCGACCCCGCGCGCGCCGGCGGCGGGGCGGCGGGGCAGCCCCGACCCACCCGGGGAGGGGGAGGGGGCAGGGGGTAGGGGTGGGCCGGTGCACGGAGGCCCGGGGGGGGGGGGGGAGCCTGACTTGAACTTGCACTGGCGAGATCCTCAGCTCCGAGGCGAGGCGGCGGGGCCAGCGCGATCCCGGCCTCGGGCGCGGCGGCGGGACGGAAGCCAGGTGAGGGCAGCCCCGGAGCCAGGCCCGGTGGAAAGTTCTGCTCGTCCCGCCCCGGCTTGCATCGCCTCCCGCCCGGGTCGGCAGGGGCCGGGGGAGCCTTCCAGGCGGCCAGCCGGCCAAGCCGCTGGAGCGACCCCGAGTTGCAAAGAAACGAAAAGCGTTGCGTTACTTGCCTGGTGCATCAGGACTTGGCCGAGTTTCGCTTCTGGTGCCCACGACCCGCGGGGCGTGGGCCCGCGAAGCCGGCGTCCGGCAGGGCCTCCGGGTCCACTCCCGCTCTCCTCTGCTCTGCCACTGGCTCGCTTCTCCCCCACGTCCTCCTTCCTTCTCCCCGGCTCCCCCTCTCCGCTCGCTTCCTCGGCCCTGGATGCCTGCCTGCCTCTAACACTGCTTGGGGGAGTCAGAGGGATCCCTGGGAGGTAGCTGGTGCTCGCTCTTGCCTTTCTTCTCCTTCTTCTTTTATTGTGACTGTTTTCCTTCTAACCGGGATGGTTGCACCTTTTAACTGACCAGGAGACGTGAGCACGTTAATTTGGGGAGAGGGGCGCGGGCGCGGAGCCTCCGCCGCCCCGGTCGCCTCCCTGCCATCCGCCGCGTACAATGGGCCGCCGCTCGCGGAGTGCATGGACTGGCCTCTCCATTATTCGAGCTGGAGGGACGAGGGGCAGGCACGGAACAAGCCTTTATTCTGCTCTTTAAAAAATCGTCGCTCGTCACTAAGCGGTCGCCGACTCCCCGACTTGTAGACTGGAGGAAACCAGGAAGCGCAAAAACGCACCCCAAACACGCAGCACTTCCCAAACCCCTCCCTGGTGAGATTTAAAGGGAGAACGAGTATTTAAAAAAAAAAAAAAAAAAGGAGAAATAGAAAAAAGCAAAAGAAAAAAAAATCGAGCCCTACCTCGGTCCACATTCATTGCGTGGCCCTTGACTCCCACCGTTACCTGAGGGCGCCTTGGAGCTCGGGATGCTGGAGCTGAGATAAACTTTTACGCTCCCGGGAGCCGAGAGGTTGGCGGGCCCGCGCGACTCCCACCCACCCCCGGAGGCGGCCGCCGGGGCTTTGTCACTCCGCGCCGCTCGGCGCCCGCCGCAGCCTGCCTAGGGGAGCGATCTCCAAACGAGGGGGGTGCCAGTGTGCGATTGGAGAATATGCAACTAATAGAAGGATCATTTTCCCCCAGTACGATCTTTCAAGGAAAAAAATCCATTGAAAGAATTTTCAAAGTGCTGTCTTCGTTTGGGGAGGGAAAAAAAAGAAAAAGGAAAAAAAAAGGCACCGGCTGCCTGCCGGGATGGGAGGAGGGACCCGCACGCGCGCTCCCCGGCGCGGCTCCCGTCCGCTAGGTGGCAGCCGGAGCCAGCGATTCCTGCAGGCCCCGCGGCGGGCCCCGCGCCTCCCGCCCGCCCCTCCGCCCGCGACCAATGGGCTTCGGGAAGGGGGTCTCTCGCCCCCCTCCCTTCCCAATCTCTCGCTTTCTCTCTCTCGATTCCTCTCTCAACCTCTCCACTCTCGCTCTCTCTTTCACTCTTTCTCCTCTTCCTCCTCCCTCCCCCCTCCGCTCTCTCTCCTTCCCGCCTCCCCTCTCTTCCCCTCCCCCAATCCTTGACACCCCCCCACCCCACCTTCTTCCCTCCTCACCGTTTCCCACTCACCCCATCTTCCATCTCCTGCCCTTTTCCTCCTTTCTGGGGCTCTTGTCTTGGCGGCATGAGCCGCCCCCCAACAGGAGGACTCGCTCCTAATCAATAATCGCGCAAGTGCTGTGGGGAGTTTGGACACATTTGAGCAGACCATAGGAAGAGACAAGGAAATCTCATATTGATGGAAAAGTTTATTTTTTTAAAAAAAAAATCATCATCTAAAGAGATGAATAGGAACCTTAATTCCGGTTGATTTCGTGGCAAATTCCAGGAGAGTTGGGTTTTTTTTTTTTTGTCGTCATTCAACTTTTAAAACCGAGAGACACTTTGGAACCGAAAAACGAGTCCCTACTTTGTTTCTTTTTTAAAAAAAAAAGCATAAATTCAAGCACAACCCACGCTGGTATTATTATACTCACACGTTAAAAAAAAAGAAAAGAAAGAAAAAAAGAATAAAACAATCCAAACCCAGTGCATTTCACGAATCATGAGGATGGTGAGTTGGGTTTCCCATTTAAAAAAAATTTTTCCCTGCCATCCCCACGCTCCTAGAAAGATCATTCGAAAAACTTTGTGGAAGAAATTAAAAAATCATCTCTTTGGAATTCTTTGGGACCCATTGCTAAGCATTCTGCCCCTAGCTATATCCCTTCCCCCCCCTCTGGCGTTCTTGTGCGTGTGTGTGTGCGTGTGTGTGTGCATGCGTGTGTGTGTGTGCGTGTGTGTGTGTGTGTGTGTGTGTGTGTGTGTGACCATAGGCGACCCATACTAATCAGGTCTCAGAGTAAATAGCAGCGCAGGGCGAGCTCAATGTAAATTGCGCTTGTCAGAAGCAGCCCCCCACCCGCGCGCGCGCGCGCGCGCGCACACACACACACACACGCACACGCACAGGCACACACACACTTTCTCTCCTCCCCTCGCCATCCCCGTCCGTAGGTAGCTGGGAGGGAGGGGGGGGAAAAAAAGAAAGAAAGAAAAAGAGGAGGGGGAGGGGCACTCCAGCCAATAGCGTGCTGGAGGCTTGGCTAACCTTAGCCTCCCATTTTCTCTCCCCCCGATCCGGGGCTCTGACCAGTCAGTCGCCTTTGATTATCAGTTGCCAGCAGCCCTTCTCTTGGCTCCTTGACACGAGCTCCATATAAGGCAGCGATCTCCATAGAAACGTGTCAGTTTCAATAGTAGTGTCAAAGTTCACTATATACAGACATTCGCGCAGATCCCCCTTTCGGAAACATTGCTCTGCGAGTCCTCCCGTTTAAACGCATTCAATTTTTGGGTCTCTCTCTCTCTCTCTCCTCTCTCTCTCCTCTCTCTCTCTCCTCTCCCTCTCCCTCCCTCCCTCCGCCTCTCTTTTCCTCAATCTCTCGCTCTCTCGTTCTCCCCCTCTTCTTTCTCCCCTTTCTCTTTTCTTACAGAGTCTATTAGTTGTTTCCCTCGTATTCTTATTCTCCCGTCTCTCCTTTTTCTCCCTCCTCCTTGTCTCTTCCACTCCATTCCTGCAGAAGAGAGAGAGCTAAACTTAAAAAAAAAAAAAAGCAAAGAAAAGGAAAAGGAAAGAAAGGAGGAGGCACCCCCTTCGCATTCTTCTTATCATTATTTTATACATAGATGATTTTTTTTTGGAGGGAGGGTGTTGGTTCCCGGCTGAAGAGCACTTATTTAAAATACTAAAAAAAGAACATTTTTGGGCGATCTCCAGGGTTTTTTTAACTCGCTCTGTGTGTTGTAGCAGAAGAAGCCGAAGAAGGAGCAAGAAAGAGGAAAAGAAGAGGATTATTTGTCCGACCTACTTTGGATGTCTCTCTCGCTTGCTTTTTTTTTTCTCTTTTTTTTTTTCTTTTGGCGATTCCTTTTCCTTCTGATTTTTGTCTTCCCCGCTCCGCTGTGAAGCCGTCGCCGGCGTGAGATCGCCTCGTCCTCCTCGCCCCTCCGCCGCCTCCCGCAGGAAGCCGGCGCCGAGCGAGCCCCGCGCGCCCGGCACAACAAAAAGAGCAAAGTGGTGCGCGATCCTCCGGGCCGGCCGCCTCCCGCTCTCCGGCGCTGCCCTCCTGAATGGCTGGCCGCGTCCGGCCCTGGACCTGGCCCCCCGACACCCGCGCGCCCTGATCGGCCCCGGCCGCCTCGCCCCGCGCCCGGCCCGGCTCCCCGCGCGGCCCTCGCTCCCGAGCCCCGCCAGGGCGCACGCCGGGACAGCGGCGGCGGCGCGGACGGCTCCGAGCCCGGCTCGCCGCGCCTCGGCGGCGGCCGCGACTCCCGCCCGGACTCCGGCGCCCGCCGCGGCGGCTGAGGGGCGGCCCCGGCGGCGCTCGCAGCCGCGACCCCCCGCCTCCGCCGCCGCCCTCGCCGCCGCCGCCGCCGCCCTCGCCGGCTTCCTCTATGCCGGCGCGGCCCGCGCGCCGCGCTTAGCCCGAGCGGCCGGGCGGCCGGCGCGGGGGAGCGGGCGCGTGTGTGCGAGCGTGTGTGCGCGCGGGGGTGCGGGCGAGGCGGAGGGCGAGAGTGTGCGCGCGCCGTGGCCCATGCCCGCCGCCCCCGGCGCTGCGCCCCGCGCCGCTCCCGGCTGCCGCCTGTGCCATTTCTGATTTTGCAACTTGGGGCAGGAGGAAAAAGCAGCGCGGGCAGGGAGCTCGCTCGCTCGCTCGCTCGCCGGGGGGGGTGGGGCGGGGGGGAAGGAGCGCGCGGCCCCCCCAGGATCGGAGCGCGGGGGGGGAGCGGGCGAGGGGAGCAGGGGCGCCGGGGTGGGGGGGCGAGCCTGAGAGCCTGGGGGGGCTGCGAAGGGAGCGCGAGGAAACAGCAGGAACCACAACAAAACGCCAGCAGGGCGGGCGGGCGCGCGGCGGCAGCGGGGCGGCCGAGGCAGGAGCGGCGGCGGCGGCGGCGGCGGCGGCGGCGACAGCGGCCGGGGCCCGGCTCGGGCTCGGCTCCCGCGACCCCGGGGCGCCCGGCGGGCCCCCCGCCCCCGCCCCCGCCCCCCTTCCCTCTCCCCGCGCGGCGCGCCCGCGCGCCCCGCGGCCCTCGGCGAGCAGCTCGGCTCCCCCCCAGCGCTCCCCGGGCCCAAAGATATGGCAATGGTAGTTAGCAGCTGGCGAGATCCGCAGGACGACGTGGCCGGGGGCAACCCCGGCGGCCCCAACCCCGCAGCGCAGGCGGCCCGCGGCGGCGGCGGCGGCGCCGGCGAGCAGCAGCAGCAGCAGGCGGGCTCCGGCGCGCCGCACACGCCGCAGACCCCGGGTCAGCCGGGAGCGCCGGCCACCCCCGGCACGGCGGGGGACAAGGGCCAGGGCCCGCCCGGCTCGGGCCAGAGCCAGCAGCACATCGAGTGCGTGGTGTGCGGGGACAAGTCGAGCGGCAAGCACTACGGCCAGTTCACCTGCGAGGGCTGCAAAAGTTTCTTCAAGAGGAGCGTCCGCAGGAACTTAACTTACACATGCCGTGCCAACAGGAACTGTCCCATCGACCAGCACCACCGCAACCAGTGCCAATACTGCCGCCTCAAGAAGTGCCTCAAAGTGGGCATGAGGCGGGAAGGTGAATATTTCTTCTCTGCTTCTCGCCCTGCGCTCCGCTCGCCTCCCTGGCCCTCGTTCTTTCTCCCTTTCTTTCTCTCCCTCTCTCCCTCTCTCCCTCTCCCTCTCTCTCCCTCTCTCTCTCTCGCGGGGGTGGCTGGCAGCGAGGGGCTGGGGCTCCCGTGGTCCCGGCCCGTCCCAGCTTCCCCTGTCCCCGCTGCCTTCCTCCCCCTGCGTCCCCCCTCCCAGCTCGCTGCCGCTGCCTCCCCCTCCCGGCCTGCGCTCCTCTCCTCTCCCCGGCTCCTCTCCCCCACCCGCTGCCTGCTCAGGACTGTGTCCCCGGGATCGTGAGCTGTGGCTTCAAATCCCCTCCCTTCCTCCTCTGTCCTGGATGTGCTCAGTGTGTCTCCCGCGTGTGCGTGAGGATGCTTGGGGGGGCTGTGCTGCTGGCATGAACTTGGGGAGGGGGGTGCTTATTTGTCCCGGGAAACTCCGTGTCTGTGCTTTTGTCGTTCCACTGTCCCTTCCACCTCATCATCCCTGTTCTTTTCCGTGGGGGAGGGCCGGGCACTGGAGTGCCCAGACCCCCAGATTCATTGCTGCCTCATCCTTTTGGAAGCTTAGCTTGGAAAAAGAGGAATGAGATTTATTGCACTTGTAGGTCTAATTAGGGGGGAAGGGGGGCTTCTGGCCTGTTCACTGGTTGCCTCTCCTTTTCACCGAGCTGGGGCCGCCTCCTACCAGAGCTGTGGCCTTGTTTTCACCCCTCTACTTTGAAAGGAAAGTTTGTGACTGAACCGTGCTTTCATAGCTGTGTCATTTTTTTTAAAGCATGATACTCGTTTTATTTCTTCATCAAACTCCACCCTCCGCTTAAATACTGCATACAAATTACAATTTACAACGGCATTTACCGATCCTTCTGATTTGACTGTAATGCATAGACTGCAGCTGGCATGAGCTTCCACATCATTTAATCCCTGTGTTGTATGGGTTTGGTTTCTTCTTTTAACACAACTTTTGATGTTGTATTTAGATATGCTTCATGTTCATGTGGCAAGAGATGCAGCACTTATAAATATATTTAGCCGTTTACAGTTAAAGTTTATCTTCTGACAATCATTAGAGATGTCTTATAGTCAAATGAGGGAACCAGTCAATTTTGCAGAATGCAGATGACTTCTTCTTGTAATTGACTTTAAAATTATATTTTATATGCCACAAGAAAAGAAATTGAATTCTTTCAGATCTCAAGAAGCAGACAAATATGACGACTTCATTTCTAGCTCCAGGGAGATTTTGTAGGCATCTGGAAGAAACACAGACACACACACACACACACACAACTTTGAATTGTGCTCTCTTTTAATTGAAAAAAATACTGCCAAGTTCAAAACTATAAGGGGGGGGCGGGAGTATTCTAGCCATTATGTTTCAAGAGCTTAAATTGCATTGGACTTGCATTAAAATTGGAATCAGAGCAAACTTAAGAAAATAGTGCACAATCTGAAATAAGATGACAACATATAGATGGCTACATCTATATTAATTTGTTGGGGGGAGAGTCCAGTAACCCTAACTTTTCCTAAAGTTGTCTTTGTTTACATGGCAATTTAAAACGCTGGCACTGTTGAAGTAAAACATACACATAAAAAAAAAAAACTTTGGTCAGCTTTAAGAACTCAAAGCATGCTTACGTTTTGCATTCAGATGGTTAATGAATCCAGTGTTTTTGCAGTTGCAAGCTCGTGCATTCACTGGGCAAAAGCTAGCTGCAGGTTGCAGTGCCACCGCGCAGGACAGACATTAATTATATTTCCCACTTTTCACAATAATGTTTGGCTACTGTAAGTTCAACTTTTTCTTGAATTTTATCAATTTTGTATTGCTTTTAACAGTGAGAACTCTGTTGGGGAGATGGGGAGGAGGATGGAGGGGAGGGTGCAGGATACTTGTTTTCTTGTCAAAAGTTGTAAGGGGATAGTGGGATATGGAACTTGTATCTGTTTTAAGGACAATTCTATAGCATTTTTTGAGAATGTGTAAATATTTTGAACAAAATGCTGTTTTGTTTGCAAATGAAGATATAACCTTCCTCTGGTTTAGCCTCTTTTTTTTTCTTTTTCTTTCTTTTTTCCCCCTTTCTTTTCTTTTTCTTTTTTTCTTTTATCCTGGCTTACTTGTTTTATTCTGGAGGGATGAGTGGTATTTTCTTTTTCTGTGTGTTACTCAGCCTTGAAGGGCTGCGTAGCCAAGCTGGGGCTGGTGGGGGTGGGGGGGCGTTCAGTCGGGCCTAATTCTGGCAGGGCTGGGGTGGCCAGGGGTGCAGCCAATGGCTGGGTAAATGGAGCTCGGAAGCTGGCTGACCACTGCCCGGATATGCTCCGGGTGTGGACCGTGAGTGTAAGCGAGAGTGAGCGAAAACGCACGGGATGCAGGAGGCTGCGGGGAAGAGCCTCCGCTTTGTGTTGGGTGCGCTGCGGCGCGGCCGATGTTCGCAAGCTCCCTGGATGCACATTGCCTCTTTTCTCTCTTTCTTTTTGTCAGCGGTTCAGCGAGGAAGAATGCCTCCAACCCAACCCAATCCAGGCCAGTACGCACTCACCAACGGGGACCCTCTCAACGGCCACTGCTACCTGTCCGGCTACATCTCGCTGCTGCTGCGCGCCGAGCCCTACCCCACGTCGCGCTACGGCAGCCAATGCATGCAGCCCAACAACATCATGGGCATCGAGAACATCTGCGAGCTGGCCGCGCGCCTGCTCTTCAGCGCCGTCGAGTGGGCCCGCAACATCCCCTTCTTCCCGGATCTGCAGATCACCGACCAGGTGTCCCTGCTCCGCCTCACCTGGAGCGAGCTCTTCGTGCTCAACGCGGCCCAGTGCTCCATGCCGCTGCACGTGGCGCCGCTGCTGGCCGCCGCCGGCCTGCACGCCTCGCCCATGTCCGCCGACCGCGTCGTGGCCTTCATGGACCACATCCGCATCTTCCAGGAGCAGGTGGAGAAGCTCAAGGCGCTGCACGTCGACTCGGCCGAGTACAGCTGCCTCAAAGCCATCGTGCTCTTCACGTCAGGTGAGGCCGCGGTCGCGGGGCGCGCTCGAGCACCCCCGCAGGCCGTGCTCCCGCCGGGCCGGGCCCCCAGCGCCGCGCCGCAGCGTCCGGCCAGGCCCTCGCCGCCCTAGGGCCTACCCCGGCCCCGCGGCCCCCGCGCGGGAACGCAGCGGGCGCGGGGCAGCTGCCTTGTCGGGAGCACGCGAGGTGCGGGTGCGGGTGCGGGCCGGCAGGCGACGGGGGCGCAGCGGCCTGGGCCCCCAACGCGGGGCCTCGGCGGCGGTGGCGGGTGCGTGTCTGGTTGTAGGGGGGAGGGGGCCGGTAGGGCGGTGCTGTGCATCCGTCTGGCTGCGCGTGTGTACTGTAAGGCGTGCATGTGCAAGCGACGAGTGTGTGTGTGTGTGTGTGTGTGTGTGTGTGTGTGTGTGTGTGTGTGTGTGTGTGTTACAGCCGAGCGTGTCTGGGGGAGGAGAAGGAAGGAGGAGAATGTGGGATGTGGGAAGGTGGTTTTCTCTGCTCTGGGTGGCATGCTCCCAGCATGAGTTTCCCCGGACACAGATCCACACACAGACACACAGACAGACAGACAGACAGACACACACACACACACAGAGGTAGAAAGAGAAGAATCCGCATAAATAAATCATAAATAATCCCGCTTTATTGCTGCCTGATTTTCCCTTATCGGAAACCATTCATGTTTGCAGTTGCTGAGGTTATTGAGGGTCGTAAAACACGGATTCGATCTAAACAACAAAGATTTGAAAAAAAAAAATACAAAAGCAATTCTGTCCAACACCCACCAAGTCTGAGTGGATTCCCGGGCCTAGAGATAAATCTCCAACCCATGCAGAACACATGAACATTCAAAATTTCACAGAGTGCCTTAAAAATCTCAAATTAAATGTAGGCAGTAGTAACATGCATGTTAACAATTTCTCTTATGATAGATGGTTCAAATTAACTTCCAGGAAAGTGCATTAACGTTGCCTTTGAAGGCTCTGGTCTGAGCCTCTGAGAACACTGACCGCCTTTTATTATTGTAACCTGCAAGAGGGAAACATATAAACACCCGGGACAGCAGGTAATGGGGGAAATATAAACAAAGCCAAAAAGAAGCTGGTGGTGAACAGCACAGCTTCCACTCGGCCTCAGGCTTACCCACTGTGAGTAGGGTTAGTTGTACTTCTACCACTGTTATTGGCATTATTGTTTTTAATTCCTCCATTCACAGAACAAATAAACCATCCCAATAAATCTGTCTGAGAACCAGAACCTCCAAAGGCCAAATTAAAACCAGTCTGAGCACAAATGGCCAAACCCCCTTTCCCAGGGCCTTGTGGAACAGTAAGCAGTGGTATAATCTATCAATATTTCTTGGCTTTCATGCGTGAAGAATCGTATTTACATTGTATTAAAATGACTCTTAAATTTGCACAATATTGTAATGTAGCAAATGTAGTATTAATATCGATCTGAACAGCAGATAATTTATTTAGACAAGAGAATCTCATTTGTATGCAGGGTGGCCAGAGCCATGGACTTGGAATGCCCCCTTTTACTTCCCGAGCAAATGCAGATCCGCTTGTAGGAGAGGGAGTTCTTCTTTGCAAGAGGATAAAGTGCGAATCTTAAAACAAATGGAAGATTTATTGAATAGCCTCCTCAGTGTTTGAATGCATTTTATCTTAATAAGTCTTCTTGATGGAAATGTGTTTTTCAAAAGTGACAAAGAGCCTGGGAAGCAGTAACGGGGCTTCTTTCGCTCTGGCAGGCCTGGGGCCTGGCTGGCTCTCTCTCTCTACTACCCAGCTCTTTAGCCAAATTAATCAGGAAGCAAGCCAGTGTCAGAGTAGCTGAGTTTTCGAAAATCTCATCCAGTGAGGTGTCTCGAAGCAGAAGTGGGAAGTGGAGCTGGAGGTCTTCTAGAGGAAGAAGGTCCCCCTCCTTTTTCTGTGTCCTTCCTAAGGTTCTTTGAGACCCCCAGTTTTCTGAGCCTTTCCCAGAGAGAGGAGAGAACTGTGAAGGCTGCAGAGAAGAGTGTGGAGTTCTTCCGGTTTACTTTCAGCCTTTCATCCACAGACAGCCCCGTGAAAAGTATTCCTTTCCAAAAGTTTGCCCCAAGAAGTTTCTCGAGCCAAACCTTTAGGTTGCGGAGGGAGGCCTTGGGGTGAACAACAGCAGTATTTTGTTGGGAAATTGCAGACCCACAATCTGAAGATGGAAATAGAGCTGTCACTAGTAATCCCCCTCCCTCCTCTGTATAGCACATTTCCACTTTTGACTAAACCTGTTTTGATTGCTGGCCAGAAGGGAATTCATGGGAAGCCTTCTCAAAGTCATCCAACTTTTAAGCAAACTTTGACTGATGGAAACGACAGTTTTAGACATATTGTCCAACGAGGTTAGCTCTGGCTCAGTATTAGCTCTGGCTAAGTATTAGAAGTCGGCTAGGGGGTTCCCTGTGGTGGTTTTCGCATTTGGCCTCTGGATGGTATGTTTAATCCTTAATATTCTGGATCGCATCCAAGGAGTAGGTCATGACCCGAACTTACTTTTTTCAAAAATTCATTAATTCATACACCTAAATATTCTCTCAAATAAATGAGACCTTCTCTGAAAGGAGCCATCTAGTTAACATAAATACAATAAATCCATTTTCAGCACAATAATAACTTTGATTTCTAGTTATGGCAGCTGATTACATCTATATTTCCTGAACACTAAACTCTTCTGAATGCACAACATGAAATACATTCTCTGCACTACAAAGGCTGAGCCGGGAGGGCCTGAGCAGTAATGGTTATTTATTTACATAATTTCTTTTCCATGTACAGTAGAAGAAATATTGAGGGTTCCCACATTGACACTACTAAATAAAAAGTGAGACATGGATTTTTAGCCCGTCCACCTCCTTTACCTATCTGGGATTTAACTCATGGAGTATACACATGTGCTTCATGACACCCCTTGCTCCCCTCGCTCAGTTCCCACATCTACCCAACCCAGCTGAGAGCTCACACTGTCTTGTGATTGTGGGAATCACCTTTGCAGTACTCTCCAGTGTAGGAAGGAATATGGAGGGAGGTGTATGACCACAGCTGAGGATACTGTTGAAGGGAGTCCCAGGACTGGCTGGCTGACCACCTGGCACCTGACTTCCAGGCCCGGCTCTAAGCTTTATTGCCTTCAGAGGAAATAAGTGAAAGCAGTTAGCCCAAGACCCAAGCATGTCTTTCCTGCCTGAAGTTTCAGCCTTTAGAGGAAGTAGCCTGGCTAGGAGAAGGGTAGTGACCTTGCACTCTGGAATCCCTAATCATAAATATCGCATAAATATTTGATGGTCCTCAGGGAATGCCATATGGGTCTTTAAAAATATCTGCTTGGGTATCTAGTAGTGGGTCCCTTTTTTTTTATTGCATTGTCTGAGGCTGCCCGTGGCATAATGGGCAACTAATGCATGATGTTAGATAAGCAAGATAGATGTAAAGACAAGTCTGCATGGTGGTCATTCAGTGGGGTCAGGTTAGCAGGCAGGGCCAAGGGCAGACCTCAGAGTCCCCTCTGTAACCTGCGAAGCCCCAGGGTGCTCCTGCCCTCCCCCTGCCAGCCATAAAATCTCACTGGCTTCCCAGGGCAGACCAGTGTGGGGGCACCCAAGTGGCTGGCTGGAGTAATTAGACATCTGAGAGAAAGCCAGACTGGATCTGGGGTCAAAGGAGCCTTGCCTCAGAAGTTCTTGAATTATCACTAGTTTTATTTGTATTTTTGCTCAAGGCCATAGCCTTGTAGATGAAGGTGTTAGAATGCTTTGTAAATCCCAGTTCTTAAAATATAAAGACATAAAGCTCAGAAACTCAGCAGGCAAGAGTTTTCGCTTTGACTCATTTGTTGTGTCTTCTTAGGGTCACACTTGCCCATTCACGATTGTATAATGTCCTTTTGAGAGTATCACCATGCATGCATTTCTTCCCAGATCTATAGATTAGCAAACTCTGTCTTTGATCTCTGGTAACCTCCTGACTGGCTCAGCATTTCTCTGTGATCTTCCTGTTTTTTAAATATTTATTATTAATCGATGAAACAACACAGGTGTTTGAACTTAGGAAAGGAAGTCTTCGCTTTGCACCTGCCCTTCACTTCCGTCTGGTTAGTAGATATGGTATATAACTGCTGTCTGGAAATATTTTTAGGAGATCAAGAAGAGGCTTGGTTGATGTGAGATAAACACACAGATTTTGAGATGCTGTTATTGTGTGTAGGTGCCTCTTTCTCTCCTGGTCCTGCCACAGGAGGCTTATGCCTCCACCCCACCCCACCCCACCCCCAACTCCCCATGCCCCAGTTCTAAAGCAGCAGCAGAAGCTGCCTCTAGCCTAGCTTTGTGTCTGATTGCTGAAGATGTCTCCTCTCTGCAGCCTGGAGTAACTGAGCTTCTTCCTCCTGATTATTATATAGCTTACAGAGATGTGACCAATTTTCAATTACTTGATCTAAGGCCCTGATAGACACGTACACCCTCACCAAGGATTTGCAGCAGAGTCCTTGCTTGCAGAGATAGGGGATCTCAAATCCTATATTGCAAACGCATGGGCTTGATCTGATTCTAGGCACTGCCAGCCCCATGGTTCCTTCCCCCTCCCTTGCGTTTGTTCACGCACCTCTAGATCTGCTGGTGGTTTCCGGTTGGGTCATTGGGATTTGAGGGGAGCACTCCAAGAAGCCTTTGAGAGCTGCCTCCTGACTGCCCGTGTCTTCATGACTCCTGAGCACCCCAAAATCCGGGGAACCAGGGGCAGAAGTCATCCCTTTAATGAGCACAGCGGAAAGATGCTCCCCTGCAGGCGGAGGACAGGTTGCTGTGTACAAGCAAACATGGCTCCAGCATCGTACATTATTTAATCCAAAGGTGAAAGAGGAAAAACAAAGGAACCCGAAAGGCTGCTGCTTCCGCAGAGATGTGCTTCTCTCCCCAGCTCCCCTAGGCTTGGTGGGGGCTCGATTTATGTTTATTTGTGCTGGGGGCTGGCAGGAGAGACCGCTGGAGAAGGAATGTGGAGGCCTGGAGGGAAAGCTTTCTCTTCCTTTTTCTTCTATTTCCACCCTTTCCTCCTCCTCTTCCTAAAACATCTTTAACAGCTTCCTGGAGCCTTTGCTGTTCACTGACCTAACGGTATGCCCCCTCCCCTTGTCTCTCCTCCCTGTGGCTGCCTGGGCAGACGCCTGTGGCCTGTCGGATGCTGCGCACATCGAGAGCCTGCAGGAGAAGTCGCAGTGTGCGCTGGAGGAATATGTCAGGAGCCAGTACCCTAACCAGCCCAGCCGCTTCGGCAAACTGCTCCTGCGGCTGCCCTCGCTGCGCACCGTGTCCTCCTCAGTCATCGAGCAGCTCTTCTTCGTGCGTTTGGTAGGTAAAACCCCCATCGAAACTCTCATCCGCGATATGTTACTGTCCGGGAGCAGCTTCAACTGGCCTTACATGTCCATCCAGTGCTCCTAGACCCCCGGCGCTTTCACCCACCCCTGCCTCCGTAGAGACTGAGAGCCACTGGGGACCATGGACTCCAAAGCCTTGGGGACACTGGGTGGCTGCTGCAGGGTGTGGCCGGGCAAGCTGGGCAGTGGGTGGAGTGGGGGAAGAGGGCCGGAACCACAAAAACAGCCCACCCTGCACACATGCAACTGGAGCCGTGAACCAGGAGAAAAAGAGACTTTGTAAGGATCAGATCTGTGAACGTGGTGGGAAGGAAAGCAAAAAGGGACCTTGGGTCTGGTGAGAAAAACACGTTTTTTTTGGGGGGGGGGAGAGAGGACCATGAGAATTTTAATAAAACAAGAAGGAGACTAATGGACCTTCCAGGATTTATTGTGGACAGATGTGGATATATTCTGTACAGAAAACAACACACTTGGAAGTGGACTGAAGCCTATGTAGAAACACACACATACACACACGCACCAAACATTGTTATTCATTTTGTAAAATACTAGTCTTTATTTTCATTTTTTTGTAAAATTTAAACATCGTATGCACATAAAAAAAAAAGGAAACAAGAATTAGGGGAAAATAACATTTTCCAAATAATTATAAAAAATGTCCTGTGTCTATGTATCTATATCTGTTTTGTATTTTTTTCTGGTTCCAAACCAGATTTCCTGTGATTCTATACTAATAATTTTTGATATAACCCTTTGCTTCTTATAATGAGTGCGATATATGTTGTCAAGGCTGTTCTTCAAGAATTAAAATTGAAGTGAAAATTTAAACAAAAATAAAAGAATTTAGCAAAATCCACGTGTCTGGTTGCTTGACAGATGCCATCATTGTAAGAGAGTCCTTTCGATTAATTTCCACCCCAATTATTGTTAGAATGAGGTGAGTGGTGGTGGTGTGTGGGGGTGGGGGAGGGCTTTTAAGGTCCATTACCAAGTTGGCTAGGAGATTTCTTTCCTTAAACCAAACGCACTGCTTTGACTTTCTAATTATGAAGGTCAGGCTCTGAGTGGGTCCAAGGTGATTGGGAGAGCTTGCTGCCTTGGTTGGGGGCATCGGCCAGTGGGACTTGGTGACTCATAAGCTTCCCTGCACACGGCAGGCAGGAAGGGTGCAGTAAGCTTAGTGGCTAGGCCTGGGCAGACAGAGTGGGGTCTCGCCTGGCTGGAGAGAGTTGGGAGAGGTATAGGGGCTCTCAGAGCCAGTGGGCGGCTTAGTTGCCTCAATACTGGCATCTGGAGTGCCTGGGGGAGCTGGGGCACAGAACTCTGAGTGGTTTTTACCACAACCGCCCTTTTCAGTCTGCTGAAGAAGTTTCTGGGAGGCCCATCCCTCCCTTGGAGGGGTGGAAGGGGCCCTACTGTGGCATTTGGGACAAGGCTCTGGAATCTGGGACTTCCATTCTGCTAAGGAGGGTTTTCCCCTAGTGGTCCTCTTAGCGAGGACCTGTTGTGCTAAGGTCTCTGCTTGGGTGTGCTGTGGGGTATGGGTGGGGCTCTAACAGCTTTCTGGGGGTGAGTGTTTGACAGGATGCCAATTTGCACCAGGTGAACATGCAGAGCCAGGGGGCTTTCCCTTCACCATATTAGCCGCATCTTTTCAATAACACCTTTCCCTCCTCTCTCCCCCGCAAACCCAAGCCAGTCTGAACAGAGGCAGAGGGCAAGAGCTGGACTTTCACACTAGCCAAGTTAGCTTTGCATTTGTTGGACCTCCCCAGGTGTCCAGGCCCCCTTCCATGCACTTCACAAACGCAGTAACAAGCCCTCAGACTCCAAACTTACCTGAGCTTTTAATACTCTGGGTGCAGCACTGCAGCAATGCGGTTCTGGGCTCTGAGGCAGCTGGGGTGGGGGATCAGGCTCCGCAGAGCCCCCTTCAGTGGCTGGCCTGCCTGAGAATGCACCTGACTCCTACTACGGGGACAGGGTGTTGGAGAGTGCGGCATCTTGGGCAACCCAAGGCAGCTCAGGTCCCTAATATTAGGTCCTGGGCTGTGTCCTTGTAGCACACCCAGGGTCCACATCTTTGGGCCTAAGTTGCCTTCCTGGGGCAGGTGGAGGACCCAGGCAAGAGGAGACATGAGGACAGAACATAGGGACCCCTAACAACCTCTCAGAAAGTCTCAAGAGTGCCCCTTCTCAGAAGGTGGGATGGGGTGGGGTGGTCTGCGGGAGCACGGAGGGGGAGGGGAGCCTGGCTGCCTCCAAGTGCTCCCAGATCTTTCTTGCCTTTCTTAAAATGAGATGTAAATATATTCATTACAATGTGATCCCTCTGATAAAAACAGATCAACATTTTCGTAGGTCGAGACGTATTTTTCAATTAAGTTCAATATTGAAGCCCCAGCGCAAGGAGCGCAGTGTGGGGAGGGAAGCGGTTCTCCTTGTGGAGGAGTCCAGAGGTGACCCTGCTTCACTTGGGCCTGGAGCTTGCCCACGACGACCTGGGGGGCCTGACCTGGGGCACCCGGGGGGAGCCTTTCTAATCCTGAGCCCCAGCCTTGCACGTCCTGCACGGCGGCGCAGGGTGAAGACGGGCCTGCCCGGGGCCTGACGGGCTCGGTCACACGCTGGGTGGAGGGAGCCGGGGAGCCCCTGGGCTGAGTGCAAGGACAGCGCGAGTGGCTCTGCGTCCCCCGGGCTTCTGCCAGGCAGGGGGCTGCAGGCGGTGGGGGTGGGGGGGAAGGAGGGGTGTTTCTTTCCTGCAGCCTTCTAGGAGGCCGAGTGAGCACTCACTGGCGTTGCACGCCGTGAGGAGTCTTCGAGATCTCTGTGTCCCCCTCCTGCAGAGACGTTTCCCCAGGGATCGCTCGCCCTGTGGGCGCCCCCGTCGGGCCGGACGGACTGCCGGCGACTCGGCGAGGCACAGTCGGAGATGCAAGCATTTGCCCGTGCGAAAGGGAGATGTTTAGGCTCTGGGAGCGCAGCTTCTCAGCCACAGAGGGAACCTTCGGTCAACGAGGAAGCGTCCACTCCCGGAGACCCCAAGCGACCCTGGACCGGCTGGCCGCGACCCGCGGTCTCATCTAGGGTCTCCCACGCTGAGCGGGTGGTGAGCGGTTGCGCCTCTGCAGCATCCGATGCCTCTCCAGACCCTGGGAAGGAATCACTGGCCAGAAGGCACGAGGGAGCAAGAAAGAGGTTCTGCCTGGGTGGCCACCCCGGAGGCTCCTGAACTGTGAGGCCGCCTTCGAGCTAAGCGCCAGGGGGAGCCTTGCAATCCACAACCAGGTGGAGGTTAGACGTTCATCTTGGGGGCGCACGGCCCCTCCTGGGCCTGCTCCTGCCACCCAAGCCGTCCCACCTCTAAGGCGTATGCGGAGTGGGGCAGGGCTGACCGAGCTGGCCGGGCTCCCTGGGCGTACTAGAGCTGACCAGCTCCTTAGAGCCAGTGTAAATGCATCCTAGTTGGAGAGCGGGCCACACAAGGCGCATCTCTCTTGAAATTACCTGGAACCTATAAAAGTCAAACGTTCCCTTTTCTAATCCAAATGCGTGCTGGGAGACTGAGAACTTTAGGGGCTTTGAAGCTGGGTTTTAACTACTTTAGCCACAAGCTTGGCTGAAAACATCAAAAAGGCCATCTCGGGACATGCTGGCCTCTGAACATCTCCAGGGAGCGATGCTGCACTTCATTCGAGGACAAGGACTGGTACAAGGCAGTTTCAACATGACCCTTGCCCTTGGATATACACCCCAACTTAGGACCCCCAGGCCTGGTGGACGCCAAGGAGTGGGGGTGGGGTGTCCCATCTAACTACCAGAGCAACCTCTGATTTCTGGGGGCACTGTCTCTCAAATGGTGTAGAAGCCAGCCAGGTTCTGTTTGCTGAGGGGCCCCAGCGCCTAGCTTGGAAGCTAGATGCACTGGTGGCTCAGAATCCTCACTTTCAACCTCCTTGAGTTCTGGGCTTGGTGCACGCCAAAGTTTATGTTTTGTTTTTGTTTGAAATCTCCTGCACTCACGGGCAGTGACAGAATCATCTCCCCCAAGTGCCTCCATTCCTCAGAACAAATCACCGAATTGCCTGGCAAATGGGAAGCCATGGAGAGGCATGGGGAGGATATGGAGGGAGACACAAGTAGGAACTAATAAAACTCTTGTTAGAGGGTCTGCTTGGGATCTGTGGCGTCACTGGGCTTTTTACTTGAAAAGCCAAAGAGTTGTATTCCTAAATGAGTTAAAGACCCATTTACCTCTGTCGTGTTCTATTCATCAAGCCACAAGTTGAGAGTCCCTAACATGAAACTATTTGTTTGCTTACACAACCAGCTGGGCGCAATTTCACGTCTGAGATATCTATCTGAAAGCGCCTCTCATTTATTATCTCTCCTTGTCAGCGAATCCATTTTCCAGCTCCCCCCCCCCCGTTAGAGTTTATTTATTTATTTATGGGACAGAGGACTTCTTTGCCTGGGAGAACCTGGGTGCTGAATGCTCCCCGGGGAGTGGCCGCTCCTTGTGGGGTGGGGGTGGGGGTTCTGCTGGGTTCAGGATGCTGGAACCAGGGGTCGGAGGGCCAGGGTGCTAAGCAAGCAGCGGGTGGGCCTGCCTGGAGGCTGCGAACTGCCGCTTCCATGGATATTTTCCATGCTATCTCTCCCGGAGTCAGCCCCAACCACCTGTGCGAGGAGAGGGCGGGGTCACTGCAGGGATGTCCAGAAGACTCCCTCCGCATAGATGGATTTGGGAGATGCCTTCACTAATAATAATAATAATTATAATAATAATTATAAAACCACCTCACCAAGTCCTAGTTCTTCTAGGGGCCAAGTTCTTCTTCCTTGCCGGAGCTCAGAGTGAGTAACCAAGATGTAAATAGTTGTGTGATGGGCTGGGGGAGGGGACAGTGCATTTATTGTGTGTGCAGAGGGGAGAAGGCTGCACGTGGTTTCAATTTTGAAGCACAAAGAGAAATAACATGCAATGCAGAAAATAGGTTTTATGAATGTAATTGAGAGGAAAGAAAACAATTAACTTGGTGCCAGGTTGCACACTCGATTCTCCACCCTGTGCCTCCTCCTCTACCCCATTTTAAAGTGATGTTTCCCATGTGAACAGAGTGGGGTAACCAGGACAGTTGGATCCGGCTGACAAGGGCAGCCCTGATGGAGATCTCAGTGATGGGTAGATAATGGTGTCTATCCATCTCCTAGTCTGCTAAGGTCTCCAACTAAATAAGGGATCAAATCCCAAAGCCAGCATATGAAATGCCCCCAGTTGTAAAAGTGGGGAAGAGAGAGGGTGCATGGAAGGGAGGAGTGTGGGGAGTGGAGGAGGGGAGAGAGAACATATTTCTTTAAAACAGACCAGGCTGGTCTCTGCAAGGTAGCCTATTGTGTTGATTTAGGAAGACATTTGCTGTATATAACGTTTAAGGCTGATAATATCATTGCACAGCCAGATAAATAAAGCATTGGCCCAACTCTGGGGTCAGCGATCGATCTCTGGGCTCAGAGGAAAAAAGGGAAAGAGACAGGGTCGTGCACGAGGCTCTGTGAGCTTGTCAGACGGCAAGCAGGAGCGGGAGTGTGTGTGAGCGCCAGGGTGTTCGAGAGAGAACCAAGACTTCAGCTGGCCAAGAGCTCATTAGCATTCCTAACCCATGGACCTGCGCTGACAACTAACAGAGATATCCCGCTCACCACCAGGCCTCCTCTCCTTTTGTCTTCAGATCTGGAAGAGAAAAAGATTTCTCGGTGGAAGCTGGAGACTGAACTTCCATGTGGCTGTTGGGGATTCAGGACAGAAAGAAAGAAAGAAAGAAAGAAAGAAAGAAAGAAAGAAAGAAAGA